TTTAGGCACCTATTGGAAATGCAATGTTAAAAACATATGCACTCTTTTTAACTTGAGTATTTAATACTTATACTTAATAACTGATTGAACGGAATCACTGATGAAAATATTCGTAACATGCGCATTTATTTTGAATTAAATCTTAATAAAATTAAGTTGAGTCCGATTCTGTTAAGGATGCAATTAATTATAGAATGTTTTCCTGCGTTAATTGTGCGCGCAACGCAACTTTCACAGTATTAATACTTAATACTTATGCCTAACAATGTTAGAAAGTAGAATTGACATAGCACTTGCAACCTTAACAGTGCGCTCCAATTGTTTATGCATGTCAATAATGCCGATAAACTTGAATTAAAAATGTGAGCATACATTTTTAATCACATACTAACGTTAAAGACGAAAGAAAAATTCGTAATTACACATTGAAGTACATTTCTGGAATGTAAAGTAACATTCAACGATTATTTTCTATTAATAATCATTGTCACACATGTAATTGTACAAAAATGTATCAGGCTCGTGTTTTTCTCCTTTCTTTTTTTTTTTTTTTTTATATTTGGTATTTCTCTACATAATATAATTTAATATAATATAATTTTTTGAATTTTATGACATATTAAAGAATGACACTTATAAAACATACATTATAAACAATTTCATATAGATTATGCTATATTGCTATCGTTAAAATGTTTTTTACATAATGCAATGATAGATTAGATACAACATGTAATTAATCAAATCTTCAAGAAGATATTAGAACATATATATATATAAATATATACGTGTGTAAATATATATAGTATATGAACAACATAATTTTTTTGAGAAATATAAGTATGGCACTTAAATCAGGTAAACTTATTCATAAGTACAAAAAACAAATTGCCAACAGTAATATGCAGATACCTATATTTATAATAATGTTGCATGTTTATTTTTCATTTTTATATTAAAATAATTCGTTAATTTTTTATATAAATATGCCATACTTTTCGTTAGTAAACAGTCTCTGATATAATTTCACGAAACTTAAGTTTCTTTTCTACATATTTTATTCAAATTTAAGGTGAAAACATAAATTAGCAAAAACTGTGACAATGTTACTACTACTCATATTTCTGTCACAAACTTTATAACGATTAAAAACGAAATATAAATAATTGTAATAAATAATGTACTGATCTTATAAAACTGGCTGTCATGGCTTTTTCTGTATATAAAGATATTAGAATTTTCCAATACGATAAAAATTGTACTTACAAATTAATTATTTACAAATTGAACCTGATACTTGTTAGAATATTTAGCGTTTAAAATAAAAATTTGTAATTGCAAAAAAAAAAATATTAACATTTATGTTTAACAATTTCATGAAAAGTATAGATATTTACAATGTGATATAAAGTAAATTACTTTTTAATCAATTATATTATATCGTTTACATCACGTAAACCGTAGCGACAATATACAAAGACAAAAAAAAAATCTTGGTTCACAATTTGTTGTAAAAATAGAGTCAAAGTACTTGTGCAACGTGTTCTTCTGTTTCATATTCGAAACGAAGAATATACACAAATGTGAGATATGCATACTTACATCGTAGAACAGTCTTTTACGGTAGACGAATGTTAAAATTTGTATTTCATTAAATGTAAGAAATTATTTATAGTATGCAATTTAAATCTGTATATGCAAAATCACTACCTTCCTCGAAAATCACTTCTAATTTTGTAGTAACTCTTTGGTAATTCGAAAGTATGCTTCAAGCGTAAATGATATGACACACTATATTAGCTTCTGATGGCAAAATTACGTTATCCTCCATGAAATTCTTAAGAAAAATTCTAAATATATTGAAAGTTGTCTTTCGTAGCAAGGAGGGGCAACTTTTCGATGCTCTGTTTATGATCAAAGCTATGCAACCAGTCCGAGCTGGGTTTTGCTTTTACTCCGCAGAAGTTTAAATTGCAAAAATCTGCCGCATTCTGAAGAGCACCACGATGAAAAGGATTTCCTTGTTTGAAATGCGCGTAACGTCCGGCGTTCATACGCTCGTTCGTTGTCATTCCAAGAACCATAATCTAATAAATGAAAAATATATATTATAGTAAGAAAAGGAAACTATAACGACTGATTGATTATACAGAGATAAGGGAAAAAAGTTAACAAACCTGATAACACTGACAAGCAAGTAGTGTGCCAACCCAAAAGAAATGAAGAGCCGTATTTGCTGCGACCCACATTACCCAAGCATCGCATGTAGCTGCAGCAACTAGATAATTATCAGCGCTATGCCCATTTGTTAAATTTGTCCAACACTCAAATTGCCAATATTGTACACTAGCGGATAAAATAACAATACAGAGGCCTAATAAAGATGCTAAAAATCCCAGAAAATACTTGTGGTTATGCGCACCTAAGTTTTTAAAAAGAAAAAAACAGATGTTAAAAATTGTAAGTATAACTACGTTATTCGAAAATTAGATTGTCTAAAGTTAATACAATTTGAAACTAGTTGTATATGTTATTAATATAATGAATTTATTTTCCAGAAGTTTTTTGACTTACCAATGCAATTATTAATCCAAGGACAGTGATGATCAAAGCGTGCTACACATCGATCACACGTAGAACAATGTTTAGATCTCATAGGTCTTCTAACTAAACAACTGCTGCAAAACGATTGTGGTTCAAAACCACCGGATTCTGCTAACTCTATAATCGTCTAAAAACGAAAAATTGAAATAAAAATGAAAAATTGAATATACTTCGTTTGCAGATAATGTAATGTAATTATAATATACAGATTATTACATTTAGCTTATCCTCATGTGTAGCTGTAATTACACCTGGATCGCCTCTCCAAGATTGTAAGAAACATATCCAAAGTGGTACAGATCCGCCTACTAATAGTAACCACAAATACCATGCAGCATGTATGCCTAACCAAAATATCCATGTTACATATATCCACATCTGTAACAGACGATAGTAAGAAAAATTGAAACTGTTGCTATTTTTAATATTATTTAATTTTTTCATGTCTATGATGTCATTTCCCATGACACGGCACTTATTGTATCTAATATGTTTCTTTGATAAGATACTCGTATCAGTTGTACAAAAATTGATATCTGATATAATTCAATCTACTACCACTGCCATATATACATACAAGATTTATGATATTATTTAATCTTACTATATATAACTACAAGTAGTAATTAATATGATACACTTTTTTAAATATTCACCTTTGTAGCCAAATAGATTGACATTGGTACAATATGAAATAATCGTTCATCAAAGATGAAATGATTAGCTAAATACAGTGCTATATAAAGAGTAATAAAGGCACCTATTTTTACTAAATAATCCAATCCACTTTGAAAAATCATTCCAATGACATAAAAAACTATGAATGGTGTACTGACCATACAATACCAGCGTATTCTCTGCAAAAAGCATTAAAATTATAAAGAATGTAGTTAGACAAAAACAATTAAAATACATACCTTATCTCTACACCATAGTCTTGTTCTACCTTGCTTTTCTCTGATTTCTTGACTAATCTTATGTCCTAACCAAGCAGCACCAATATGACGACCTAATAATGTCATTGGTGTCTCATCTCGAATATTGGGCACATCCAAAGATGCACCATGATGAACCAGTGTTGATATTGCTGTACTATTTTCTGCTATAATAGCCCAATGCAAAGCAGTATTACCATGTAAATTATCTGCGAGCGAATGAGACGCTCCTAAAGTTAATAACAAGCGTGTCGGATCTAAACTGTAAAAGGCAAGACTTCAAAGTAAACAATATAATGTAATTCGAAATAAACGTTATTGCGAATAAATATTTTTGTTGTTTTCTCACATTTACCTATTAACTTTATAGGCACTCCACATAAGGGGTGTCATTGCACTTCTGTCTGGCATATTAGGATTTACTCCTTTTGCAACTAGATAAGCAACAATAGAAGTATGACCAAATTGTGCTGCTAAATGAATACATGAGAAACCTTCTGAATCTCTAAGAGTTGGATCTGCTCCTGCTCTCATTAATATTACAACTGTAGATAAATGGCCTTGTCTGAAAAGTATGATTTACTTTATTCAAAGAACTTATTAAATTCAACTATAAAATAAATTTAAATTATATAATGTAAAATTAACCTTGTAGCCCAATGCAGTGGTGTAGAAGCAAGTTCACCACCAATTGCATCCACAACAGCTCCCTTCGCAATTAAATACTTTACAATATCTTTTCGATTGTTTATTGCTGCCCAATGTAATAATGTTACAGTTTCTGAATCTGGCTGATTCACATCAGCACCAGCTTCTACTAATTCAGTCACACGGTCCAAAGCTCCATACTATAAAGAATAAATTTCCCAAATAGCAAATATTTTTAAACAGTTAAGCATCAAATAATTACAAAAATAATAATATTCAAAGTTGAGTTACTTGAGTTGCTCGAACAATGTCAAACGAACTACAATCCTGTGCTGGAGGCCTAGCAGGTTCTTGGTGATGACTACTTGAATCATCAGGCTCCCCACTGCCCTCGCTTTGACAGGCAGTTTGCATTTTTAATGCATACATATTGAATTTGTTAATATCAACTTGGGATTCAAGTCATAGATATAATCAGGATTTTGCACCCAAAAATGAATTTTTAAAATTGATTTAGATTGTAAAATGTAACTGAAACAACAATATTGTTATTCTATTAAATTCATCCCTTGAAGTTTCTCCATGTATTATTTAATTTCTCTAATAATTCTTACTATTATTTAAATATCAAAATATTTTATTTATAGCTATTTATTATTTTGTAGAAATTTGATTTCTACATTAAAACATAATTAATATTCTATTGTGTTTTAAAGTAGCAAATTATTTATGCATTTTTTTATTTCGTTTTATGATTTCTTTTCAAATTATTACTATTTCTACAAACTATTTTATAAAATCCAGGATTCTCCATTTCAATGTTATAAATTACATCAATCGTAAATATAAAAAATTATCGGGCAGCAGTTTGCTGACGTTATATCACGCGAATGTTCTTCGTCCTACAATTAATATCATTCAATTTAAGTGACGGTAATCAATTCATCGTTTGTATTCAGCAAGTATACCGCGTTGTAAATATGACATGTAGTATGGCGTGCATCGAGCATATTGACAATCGATTCGGTATTCGAGTCAGGGACTGATGATAAACGTCGCAATGTACGAATCTTTCCAATTATTGAGAAATTATTAAATCATGTTATCCCATAGAGAAAGCTTATTATTCTCTCCTTTGTACACGAATATGTAACTCGAGGGTAGAATCCTTTTGGATACTTCAAGGAAGGGATAATACAGCTACTAAACATCAAGATAATTCGTAAGAGGCAATTTCGTGATAAGATTAAATTATTTCACAATGCCTATGAAATTATCTTCGAATACATCTACAAATATATATGCGTGACTATTGCTACGATGATATCATATCTTACCTCTCAGACAATGACAACGACGATAATAGACTTGCATAGTATGCGGCATGCTACCCTCGAATACGTAGTTAAGGGATTAGATTTAAAAGACAAACAATGAACGGGGGTGGGGCGCCGGTACATCGAATAGAATCCAGACAAGGGTTGACTTTTTCTTTCTTTCGTTCTATAGAAAGAATACTCTACTGCGACTTGTCGTTCCCAGTATGTCAGCACTGTTCTTATTTCTCCCTTATTTGTCACAGAATTTCATCGCCGTTAACATTTCCTTCTTCGACAGAGTTATTGGGCACAGGCCGCGTACCGAACCGATACACGATACGTCGTTCGCGTCACATGTACATTATGCTTTCTTGAGTTTCACGAGGAGCTTCTTATTGACCAAACGGCTTCGTAAGCCGTCCGATCGGTATCCGATACTCATCGAGAACGAACGTAAAGTTATCAACGAGTCATCTGGCGGAGAAAGGTAAATACATACACAGTTCCTCGTGTTCGATACCGCGTGAACTTAGCTTTATGTTCATTAATATCGATATAGAAACTAAGAGCGAATTTTGAAATCATCTGTGCATAAATAATCATTCTTTGTATTATATTATCATGGAAATTTGACTTTATCACAAAGTATGCAATTATTATAACAAATACAAGAATATGTTCAATCGACGAGTTGATTGAATCACAGAGAACTAGAAGAAAGACCTTAAATTCGGGAGAAAAGACTAGAATAAAAATTTAAAAAAAAGAAGAGATCTTTTCAAATCAGTACTTCTTAGTCTCTTAAAGTGTATATTTCGATTCAATTATTCCGTAATAAAAATCATCTTTGCATTGTAATAGTTGATTTTATATTTCTCACGTCCTATAAAGTAGTTAGTTTCATGGATACCAACCACTGTGAAATCACTAGATATTATAACACTGATGAAAATAGAATATTCTAATGTTGATTTTTTAAACGAAAGAGAAAATTTATCGAATAATAATTAATAATCATTATATAATCTATATTTCTAAATTTATTATACAAAATACGAAGTGTTAATTGATTGAATCTTACCCAATTGATCAGGTTCTTTGCTGGATCCATCGGAAGTTACGAATCTAGTAAAATCAATGTTTATGAAAATACACACTGTATGAAATTTTTCCCTTTCTATGCCTATTTTCCCGCCGATTTTGTTATAATTGTGATCCGATAGTGATATGTTTTCAACGTGTTGTATTTGTAAAAATAGTGCCTTGAACAGTAAAATATTTGAGTGTATATATATATTATTTTAACCTTAGAATTTGTACATATTTAATACATGTTTTTCTTTGTTCTTCGTACCATTTGTATTCATTTAATAAGTAATTAAATTATTAGGTTATAATAATGTATCATTGACAGATTCGTTATTAGTTTTGTTAGTTAATGTAATGTTGTAAAAACAATTGGATATTTGCATATATTTAGGTAACATAAAGACAAAATATTTCTTTTTATTCATTTATTCTTTATTTTTGGCTAAATATTGAATAGAAGTTTAGTTTATTCTTGTATTTCTTTTCTGACATGAAGGATTACTGACATGAAAATGGTGAGCAGTGAGGATGATTGTGAAATCACTTCTGTCAAAAAAAAGAAATTAAAACAAGGTATTTAATCTTTATTTCAAAAGTAATATAACAAAGTTTTGCAATGATTATTAAAATAACATGCAATTTGAAATTTCATTATAGCACAATTGCCATTTCAAATGCAAAGCTCAGTACAGTCTCCAAATATACAAAGTAAAAAGAGGAAACTATCATCATCTTCTGTGGAATGTAAAAGTCCAAAAACAATTAAAATTTTGAAAAATTTGAGTAAAGATAATGCAAATAATGAACCAGATGACACAGATGTTGATACAGAAAATAAAGATATTGCTCAAATAGAAATAATAAAGGACACTGAAAATGCAAAAGAAAATGCGTCTAATGAGAGAAAATCTGAGAATAAAAGCAAAACGCCAAAACGAATTTCAACTGGACAGAAAAAATTGGAGAAATTAAAATTAAGTCCTTTAACAAAGTTTCTTCAAAAGACTGATAAACAAAAAGATAGCTCAAAGGAGGAATCTGTTCCTGATAAACAAAAAGATAGCTCAAAGGAGGAGGAGGAAATTTCTTTGCAAGAAGAAAAGGATGACATAGTTGAAGAGATTGAGGATAACTCTAACAAAGTAATTGAAATTGATGTAAATAGGCCAGAGATGCCAAATAGTTTAAACGATACAGCGGAAGATTCATCTTCAACTGTTAATAATTCTTTATCTCGATCTGATTCCGACCTTATAATGTTATCGTCGGATTCTGAGAATAAGGAAAAAACAGAGTCAATTACTAGTACACCAAGAACTGCCAATATTCCTGGGATGAACAAAGCAAAACAGAAAAAATTAACACATAAACACAAAGAAAAGAAATTATTAATTGCTAAGAAAAGGGAAGAAAATAAACTATTAAAAATGGTAGATTAAAATTATTTATAGTATATTAATTTTATTTTGTTGATTTAATGCTTAATATATTTTTTTATTTGTTTATTAGGAGAAGAGGAAAAAATTGGAAGAGGAACGACAAAATCGAAAGAAAGAAAAAGAAGAAAAACGAAAACAAAAAGAGGAGAAGGAAAGAATTGAAAGAGAACAGAAACTGATGGAAAAGAAAATAAAAGAACAAAAGAAACAAATGGAAATTGAGTAGGAATTTTACTATTCTAACAATTATAACTTTGTAAAAATGTAACTGTCAGTTTTCAGTAATGTATATTTACAGACAAAAACAAAAAGAAAAACAAGTAAAGGAAGAAGAACGTCGAAGAAAGGAGGAAGAAAAAAGGAAAAAAGAAGAAGAAAGACTGGAAGTAGAGCGCAAGAAACAGAAGGCAGCGACGACTTTTACCAGTTTTTTCGTCGCTAAGAAACAAGAAAAATCTGTCGAAAACGAAAATACGAGTGAAATGAAGAATTTCATGCCTTTTGAAGTAAAAGGAGACATGAAGATAGCTCCAGTTTGTAGGAGACTCTTGACTGAACAAGAGAAATTATTATTAGATGAAAAATATAATGAAGGAAGTATGCAAGTGATAGATTTGTATCTTAATGAGCTCAAGGACAAAAAAGTCGTTCCACGTAAATCATTGAAAACTTGGCCGCTCGAAACAAAAGATGACGTGATTTTGTTAGGTAAATTTTTCTCCTTAGCAATTATTGATATGATTACATATTATCGTTAATTATATATTATTTCCTTGTAGAAGAAGACAACGATTGCAGCTCGAACATTGTGAACCAAAATGTTATTGTAGAGAAGCAGCGAGCTAAATTATTACAATTTTCTGAAAATCAACGACCTCCTTATTGGGGAACATGGAGAAAACATAGTAAAATTATCAATCCTCGGAGACCGTTCTTCAAAGATAAGGTAAGTCTATATTCAGTTACATTTACGGCGGTATTTAAGTACATGTTTGGTACATATAGTAATGCATTTCGTGTTAATCAAGAATTTGAGGTTTTTCACAGCCTAGTTCTAAATAGCATTATATTGTACAACTATTTCAATTTGCTTAAAATCGTACTAATTAATTAAATAATTGACAAACAATTTATCGTATTTTTAACAATTTATTGTCAAACAATCCAGTTCGGCATCATGAAAGAAAAATATAGAAAATATCTTATTTAATCTCTTTTGTTAGCTTCATGAAAATTTTTTATGGTTTTCACACATCGAGAATGATATATGATATCTCTTTTCGATTTTTTCATTGATTATCAAGCAGGAATCTGTAAAATCTTCAGATTCGAGAAATTGAAAGAACATTCATCCAACGACTCTTCGTTCAATACCATTTTCGTTATGTAAGATAAATTGACTAAATTTATATATGTAAGACTAAATTTCCGCTGGTAGAATTGAATTTATCTTTCCTCCGCGTAGCCCTCTTCCTCCATGAAATAATGGATACGTGTTCTTTCTGTGTACTTTACGATGCTTGGCCAAGTGATCACTTCGCGCGAACCTTTTTGAGCACATTTCGCAAGGATAAGGCTTTATGCCAGAGTGCGATCGTCTATGCCTGGCCAGTTCATCAGATCGACTAAAACGCCATCCGCAACCGGACCATGTGCACGCAAATGGTTTCTCACCCGTGTGCCGACGTAGATGAGCTTTTAAGTGAGATGCTTTTGCATAGACCTGGAAAAAGAATTATTTCGTTTTTAAATATTTTAATTTAAAAAAAAAAAAAAAA